TTCGCGAACGGAAATTATAACTTGGAACCAAAGCAGATCTCTCTAGTCATGAAATCAGGGATTCCGCGTATTTCCAACCCTGGTATCTTCCCGAGAATACCGGTATGAACAGCACAAGGGTTTATGCTATAAATTTAAGAGCAAAGGGAGTGATGTTCTAGCTAAAACATACACTCTTCTAGACAACGCTCAATTGGACGAAAGTTATAGTACAGCTACGGGCGAAAGAGAAGCTACTGAGATATGTTATAGGAGGTGTACGGGCTCTAATGCCGCAGAGTAATTTGAAACCTTTCTCAAAAGCAGCGTACCAATAAGTGGGAGGACTCTATGATGCATTACAAGCCTTCAGTCCAAGTAAAAGAAAAAAGTATTGGGCACGTAATTTTGCGTCTCCGACGTTGTAAAAGCGGCAGCTCGGAGGGGCTCTTTGTAGAATTCGGGGGAGGCTAACGAAAATGGTATGGAAATACAAAATTGTTCTACAACATTACTTCCTGGTAACTGTGGACGAGTTATATATATGAGAGGCATCTAAGTGCTTTCAGTTTTTCCCTACCTAATTGAATTCAACTTGGGATAGGTCTAGTATGGAATAGTGTAGTGTAGCCACAGAGCGTCTTTATTCGAGAATTTTTTCCACAAATGCCTTTAACTGATTGGAAACAATTTCTTCGTCCATAAAAATGTTTTTTTTTCTTGAAATCAAAATCCGTTTGTGGATAAAGTGTCGGCTATTTTCAATCGATTAAAAACTGACTTGTTTTTACGAACTAAAAAGGCACAAAGAATGTTGCCACATAAAAAGTGCTTGTCGCTTAAAAGTTGCAACACCTTACAAATTTATATGACAGCCAATAAATTCTCAACTTTTTTACACTTACACATACACATGTAATTCTAAGGAGAGGTGGAAAGAGAACCGAAAATTCTACATTCCATTTGTGCATTGTAGGCTTATTCGAAGAGAAGTATGTAAACTGAAAAGTGGCAGCAGATGTTCGAGTTTTTTTGGTTTGCGCAATGGGCGGAGAAGTCGTTTGTTTGAGCAGCTATGACATATTCGCTTACATGTTAGTCGTCTTTTAGGCGTACAGGCATGTTTGAATTGTTAGGCGTTGAAGGATAATATAATTCAAAAGTGTGAAAAATAAAAAAAAAGTTAAAAAAACATAAAAATTAAAATAGTATAAATGGTAACAAAAAAGCTTCTTCTTTAGTAAGATATCTAAAAGGTGGGCAAAAGTAAAAGCTAAAATATTGTTCAGTAAAAATTGAAAGATATTGGAGTATATTAGACCGTACCACCTTACCAGCAAATAAAAAATACGCGGTACACCCCCGAGTCGAAAGTATTTACTTTTGCAATGAATTCCCCTTTTTATATTTCTTGGTGATATTTACGTTTGGCAATCAACTTTTTTAACGCGTAATGATTTTTGGTGACTTTTTATTTACTGACATTAGGGCGATAGGAACTGACGTCTGGAGGGTAAGTACCAGAATGCAGTATTTGATGTCAACGAACTTTGAAGCAAAAAAAAAATGTCTCCTCGAGACAAAAACTCCGATATATCATTCTTTATGACTCGACTGTAAATTTCATAGATGTGTCGAACAATGGGTAGGTTCAGAAGGCGCAGCAGTTGAGTGCAACCGTTGCTAAAAAAATCAGTGATCGTTATGCGTTTTCTGAACGGCTTGATACAATAACTGTCAAATTACACTCTCAAAGTAACATGCCAACATGTTGTCTCAAATGATCAGAAAAATATTACGATCATCTAACACGCAACTTTTCAGTTGATCAGAAGTACAGAACAACGCGTTCAGAAGGTGCAATCGCAACAGTTACTAAGCTGTTGCGCCTTCTGAACGTGCCCAATGTAAAATGTTCGGGTAAAAGCAAACTGTCGAAATCGCCTTCAAATCCTGACGCCTGAAATCGCCTGCAAAAGTTTAATGCCTTTTGGTGAGCTCTAATTTACTGACATTAGCGGGGTACGTTAGCGAGTAGGAACTGAGAGCCTGTGGGTTAGTTTAAGAATAGGGTACTTGAGGCCAAAGAACTTTGGAACAACAAATTTTGTCAAGAATATCGATATGTCATACTTTATGGTCCGGCTGTAAATTCCGAAGATATGACGAAGAAGTTCGAAAAAAATAATCGGAAATTGCCTTCCAATAATACTTAAGACTCTCGTGAGTGGACGTGGAACTTTTTTTCCGGTACGGTCTTAAGTACGCATTTGTAACCTAGAAAGTTAAAAGCAGCTTGCGCTCTGGAAGAAATGTGAAAAAGAAAGTCCAGAAATGACTGTTTAGGCATTGAAACGGTTGCAGTTTGGATGGTAGTACTTTTCTCCAGGCCCCAAATTGGCAGCTCGTAGAAAATGGTAACAATGGTAGTCCGAAAATGGGGTCCTATTAGACTCGAAACCGCAGGAAGCAAAAACAAATTTGGAAATTTCGACTGACAACCGGGAAGTATCGTCTTGTCGACAAAAATCGGTAAAAAAACGAGCGCATATAAGATTGCGCTCATGCTCGCGGAAAGTTCGTTAGTTTTGTCGAGGATGAGGTATCTCAATAGAGGTTCTAGATATTTTTCTGGATCCTTTGGGTTTTTACTGGGCCTTTCCGAATTCTTTGTAATTTGTTTCACGGAGTCGGCGGTTTTTTAATCTTTCGGAATTTCTCGAGGATTTTTCGAAATCTTACGTAGTTTTTCCGGTCATTTCAAGTTTTGTTCGGAGCCTTTCGGCACAGTCGTTAAGGTCGCTGATGAAAAAAAAACAAAACAAATAAAAATCTTAACGCAATAACAAACCCATTAATAACAAAATCCTAACTAATCACCATTCCCTCTCTCTCTTTTTATAAGAAAGAAATGTATCCCAACGGTATCATCTAAAGAATCAAATGCCTGCTCACCCACACATACGCAAAATTAAAAAAGAAAAAATGCAACTTTACTTTTATTACTTTTTAACCTTTTCAACACATTCATGCCTTCACTTCGTGCAGCTGCTCTTGATGGCACCATATGCTGGCAAACCAAAATTTTCATGTGTATTAGTGCCTCCGTGGCGTGCAAAAGCCTTGAAGGACGAGAAGGAAAGCTAAGAAGTTTCAGCCAAATATTTTGCGTTTGTCGCGGAGAAGATAGTTGTAGCCAAGTAAAACGGTGGGTAAAATGTTCTTCTTGTTGCTGCACTCAAAAAACATGAACATTGTTTGCAAATCAAATGTCATTGCCATTCGTGACAACCGTTTTCGTGCTTCGACGCGGACACCGTCGTTGTCATTGCTGCTGATGCTGTAACTGCTGGTGGTGATGTTGTTTACTTAGTGTATAGGAAGATGTTTGTTAGTAACAAAAAGTAAGCTTTTTTTGGAGAATAGTTGTGTATTCATGGCAAATGCGTAGTAGAAGGCCAAGCAACGACTAGACATACACATCAATGGAACTCTAATTCCGACGTGCGACAACCGAAAAATACTGGGCTTTATATTCCCTCAGTGCAAACTGCGCTGTGCCTGGGCCTGCCAGAAGTTGACCTAGAGGATAGCGAATATGGCCTAACTGATCAACAACAGAAACTATCTCTCAAAGCACACTTTGTGAAAGTTCTGCTCCCTGAATTTCGCAAACGGCTGAGCTTGTCTTTTTTGCCAAAGGATGTATAAAGAGACTCAGGTATGGTTTTTGTCAAACATAGGATTTGTTAGCTCTGCTCAATGTAGATTTTGCAATGACGAACACGAAATAGCAGAGCACATTATGTGGCACTGTGAACCCTCACTAGGACCAGACTTGAATCAAAGAAGACTTGTAGTTAGTTGAATTGAGGTCTGTTACAACATATCGTTTCGGTTGCGATAACTAGGTGATCTGCGCTCTCCTCTAAATCTAGTCTAATCCAGGGAAGGTTTCTCATGGAAACAGTGTGGTTTCAAGAAGACAAAATCCACCCTAAGAGCAGTTATTTCGATGGAAGGTTGGATTGAGCAGGCACTACTTTTTTATTCTTCTGTACTTTGGGAATCCCATCAAATTTCGCAAATTGGAAAAAATAATTCAAGACCTATAAAATTTATAAATAGGCATCGAAGGGATTATTAGCAACTATCTCTGTCCAACCGAGAATTAGAAAGCTTCAGATTCTCCGGACGCAGCCAAGATAGTACTCATTACGGAAAAAGATGAAGGCTTTAATTGGTTTAGGATTCGTATTCCTCAAACAGGCAGTAAGATGCTGCAAGAAGTCTTGTCTGCGATAATGACTCAACTCTCCACTTTCGAGGTTAATACTGAAGCCTCGGAGACCCAAACAGCTATACGAGACTATCGTAAAGAAAGGTCTACATACTGTAGACGCTGATAATCACAGGGTTATATCCCACTGATAAAGTTGCGAGAGAAATAGTTGCGGAAGCAGACAAGAACTCCAAAGAGAAGGCGAATCGGCTCAATTGGCGAAAGTTTAACTTCAGTACTTCCTCCATCGCTAAGTGAAAGGCTCTACCGACGACTTCCATCGAAATCAAATGCCTTGGAAATAGGTTGGTTGGCCCTCGTCTGCAACATAATAACTAACAGACAATCCGCGGTAGGAGAGGTCCCACACTTTTCGGCTTTCGGTGCTTTGAATTCAACCCTTTTAAGTATCTCTTTAAGAGCCAAAGCAAGGTAGAAAAGTGGAAAATGTCACAATAAAACTGTATAGGCAACTCCTTTAAAACACATGTTTAACGTACCTTACTGTCAATACTGAGTCCTAGATATCCCGAAGATGCCTTTAGAAATACTGTTCTTTTGTATTTCTGTGAAATATTCGATCCGGCAGCTACTACTTCTTAGTCCTGGTGAAAGCTATTGAACACTCATCAAATGTAGACTATGCCTTTTTTGTGTTATGTTTAATGTCAGTTATAGAGATCATAAAATTGTATAAGTATTTAGTTTACACGATTTTTATTTTGAAATTTAGCACTTAGGTAAAATTAGTAATTTTTTTAAGTTGACATTTTTGTTAAATTCTTCGTGTCTAAGAAATCACTGTGTCGGTTCCGTGCATATCAAGAAAAGAATGTCTTCCATTTTTCTATAAGGAAATCCCTAACCCAGGGACTCTCCGTACTCCACCGTGATAGTCTTTCTGTCTTTAAAGTAAAAAAAAAAATATTTTGGCACAGTATTTAAATACATAAGTTAATCATACTAAACATTTAAATAAAACTTAAATATTTTATGTTAAATTTCAGCTTATGTTGATACGTATATTTTGCAGTTCCTTTACTTTCATGCTTGCACCATGTTCTTTTTTTGGATAACATCCAATTTCCAGTCTCCAACTCCCTTTCCTCACTCCGCCTTCTTTTCTTCCGCATGCAATGGTATGCCCTGATCGTTGATCTCCACAGAAGGCACTAGCGGCGGCTTGAAGCCATACTCCATTTGCAGATTTCTACCAAATTGTGGACTTCGCTTCAAACTGTGTCCATTACGCCAGCGTTGAAATTCATCATATGGCTCGTTGAGTGGCACATAGGGGCCAGCATATGTATCGGTCAACTGCTCCGCAGCAGACGAGTCCGCCACGGATAGATCGTGCGGCAAAGTGTTGTAAATGTAGCGCGCACCCTTCGACCATTCCGGACCCGTGGGCGGTGGTGGTGGCGGCTTCAAGTCGAAGCGCATGTCGCCGATCTTGAAGGTGTGTTGCTTAGCCGATGTGCCACTTGCTGTGTTTGCCTTTTGCGACTTAGGCGACTTAAAAGACGCAGTCGTTGTTGTGCTGCTAGCCGCAGGTGCTTTAGGCCGCGCCTGTGTATGGGTATAGGCTGCGGTTGTAGCGGTGGTTGCTAACGCAGGGGCCGCGCCTCGCTGTGGCAATACTTTCGGTAGCAACTTTTTCAACATGCGCGTATAGTAGTTCTGCAGCACCTTCGGTGGTATTTGCTGCACCATTGGTGCGCGGCCACCAAAGTCCGCAAAGCTTGTGGCTTCGTTCCAGCCAAGTGCATTGGGATGTGCGTGGTAGGGAGAGTTTCCGAAAATTTCCGCTTGTTCATCGTATTCGACGGGCAGCGGCTGATGCGCATACGGCACGGGCACAGCAACAGGCACACGAATGGGTACGGGCACTGGACGGTCGACGACTTTTTCGACTATCTTTTCAACTTCGATGGGTATTTCCTTTTCCACGATCTTTTCGACAACCTTCTCTACAGGGTAGGGCACACGTTTCTCGACGATCTTCTCCACTGGGTAGGGGCGGTCAATGTAGCGATCGACGTGCACGGGCACGGGTACTGGCTCCGGGACTGGATAGGGTACGGGTATATGCGTCTCGACTATCTCCTGCACAGGATAGGGGCGGTCGATGTACTGTTGTACGTGCACCGGGTATGGTATGTGCACTGGACGTTCCACGATCTTCTCAACCTGATGTTCTACTGCCTTTTCGACGATGTCCATCTCTGCTGCTGGCTGGTGGTGCTCTTCGTGCGTCTCTGTGGCAACTTGTTGGATCACCTGTTCACTAGGCTGTGCACGCGCATGTTGCGGTTGTTCGACCGGTTGCTCGGCGGGTTGTTGCACATAATGTGATACATACTGCACGTACTGCTGCTGTGGATTTGCCTCCAGGTGTGAGTAGGACGATGCTTCTTCTTGCTGCTCTAACTCATCGATGTGCTGCACGTTGATTGGATTGGCTGAGAGCGACGCGTAATCTTTGGACACAAAGTAGTAGTCATTTGGGTGGACACCCTCTTCCAGCACGGCCAATTGTTGTGCATATTGCAAGGGGTAGTGGGAGGGTGGAACCTCGGCGTGGGAAGCTGCCGGTTGGTGTGCATGCGCTGGTGGCTGATGTTGCTGTGGCTGTGACTGTGGCTGTGGCTGTGGCTGTAGCTGTGGCTGCGGCTGCGGTGCCGGTGCAGGCTTTGCTACTTGCTGCACTTTTGTGACTTGCGGCTGCTGAGTTACGTACTGCGGTAGCGGATAAATTGTCTCGTGCGCCTCCACCAACTTTCCATCCCTCTCAGTGATCAATTTATTGTGTATATTCACCGACTTTTGCACTTCGACAAAGGTGTAGCCGCCATGTGGTCGCTTAGTTATGGCCGCTGGCGTCGGTGGTGCTGAATGGGGTTGCTGTGACTGCGTCACCGATCCAGCGGCTTCAGAGACGTACTCGTATGGTGAATGCTGTGCGAAAGCTGGTTGGGAAGCTTTCGTAGCGGACGTGTGTAGCGTTACAAAGACGACGCTATGCGGCGTGGGCGTGGCTGGGGCGCTCTGTTGGTGTGCTGCGTCCAGCGGATGTTGGTATGTTCGATGCTGCAAGGAGGCGGAGGCAGGCTCTGAGTCGCTAGCTGCTTGAGCGTGTGACTTGGAAGCCGGCTCAAGTGGCTTAGAAGGACTTGAGTAGTGCTGTTGCTGGGTTTGCTGGTTTTGCTGGCGCTGTTGTTTTTGTTGTTGCTGCTGCTGCTGTTCATGCTGTTTTTGTGCTTCCACACGTTGTTGCTGCTGCTGTTCATGCTGTTTTTGTAGCTGTTGCTGCTGTATTTGTGCTTCCACACGTTGTTGCTGCTGCACTTGCTGTTGCTTCACTCGTTCCGCTTGTTGTTGCTGCTGCCTTATTTGCTCTTCGTAGCGTTGTTGTTCCTGACGTGCCCTCTCTTTTTCCTCCCTTTGTTGTTGTTGGCGCTGCTTTGTGTAATGCTCTTGTTGTTGCTGCTCGCGCTCTTGTTTGTACTCATGTGGTGGTGGATGCTGCTGGAAAAGCGCGTATTGTTGCTGCAACGGCGGCTGTTGCTGTTCGTATTGTTGCTGAAGCTGTTTGTGGAATTGTTGCAGTTCTTGTTGTTGCTGCTGATGAGTTTGGGACGCTTGCCGTTGTTGTTGCTGCTGCTGTTGCTGTTGCCGCTGCTCATACTGCTGTCGCTGCTTCTCTTGCCGCTGCAACTCCTCCTGTTGCTGTATTAACCTTTCATGTTGTTGCCGTTGCTGTTCATGTTGTTGCTGTTGCAAGAGAAATTGTTGCTTTTGTTGCAGTATTTGCTGCTGTTGTTGTAAAAATTGTTGCTCCTTCAAATAGCGCAGCTGGGCGGCATCCTTGTCGTAGTGCTGCAACGGAAGGCGAGGACTCTGTGGTGGGTCGGCGGCAACAGTTGAAGGCTCTGCTTGTCCTGGGATTTTGCCTGAAATGCCGCCGCTTTTCTGACCCTGCTCCGGTGCTTGCCCCTCCTGCTTGCTGGCTGGCACTTCAGCTGCCCGTACGTAATAACTTGGCTGCAGCGCATGCGCTTCGTAGTGGAACGTACCTCTAGGTGTCGATGTACCCGCACCTGCGGACAAAACCGGATTGAAGTTCCGCAAGAACTTCCTTGAAGGCGCTTCGTGTACCAGATTCAGGTGACGAAAACTTTGCTCTGCATGTTCCTGGAAGGTGTCCAGCTGCTGAGCCGGCGGCACGGCTTCAGACGCCCTCAGGGATGTCGCTACTTCACCGTCACTTTCTTGTGGCTCTGACTGTTGCTGTTCTGGTACAAAAATCGGTCGCCCGTTTATCGATGCAGTCAAGTAAGGTGACTCGCCATGCACTATTTGTATGCTCACCTCCGACTCGGGTGCCGCGCGGTCTCTCAGTCCACCCTCCTTGCGGCCATGCGGCTTATCGTCAACCGGCAGCCGTTGATACAAGCGCTGTCCAACATTCTGCGACTCTGCGATGAGGTTATCCTCCGCGCTGATACCTTCCATGTCGCCGCTATCGTCATCGTTCAGTATAATTATGGGCGCCTGCCTATTCGGCGACTGTTCAACGGTCGCTGTTTTATTATCTTGTTTCGGGCTGGGGTTCATCAACAAGCTCGGTAATACCGGCGCCTCTGCCGCTGCTCGATTGATCCGTAGCAAATCATCTTTGGTAATCAGATTACTGCCGTCACTGAATTCGCCGCTACCAGTGCTGCTGGTGCCACGTGGTAACAGATCGAGTTTCTCCACCACGATTTCAGTGTGTCCTGGACGTGATTTGCGGCGATACTGTTTCGAGACGCTTGTCTGATAGCTGACTAAAGTCTGCGCACGTGGCTCACGTGACCCACGTGGTTGTGGAGTATTCGATGCTGCTGTTGTTGTGGTTGTCGTTGTCGTGGTGCTGCTGCTGGGTGCTGGCGTTAACTTTGTCTCAAGCGTTGGCGCTGTTGTTGTTGTGTGCTTAGGCGGCTCTTCTGAATCCGTTGCGACAGCATGCGCTGGCGTCGGCTGCTCTGAGGCATAGCTAAAGCGAAAGATGTCTGTAAAACCATTAGGAAAAAGATTGGAGAGCACTTCGTTCACAGTATCCATGCGGGTGGCTCGTGTCGGTGTGGTAGCGGCACTAACGCTGCCATCTTCATCGTTTACATCAAATTGTATGTAGCCGGCTGACTCAAGCAAATGACCGGGGGACTCAACGCTTTAGTAAGAAAAAAGAAAGTATGTTAAGATTGGTGTTTTTTGATTCAAAAATTGGTGAAATATTAATGCTTACTCTCTTCTGGGATCTTCTTCTATTTGAATCTCGACTACGGGTGCTGGTGTCAATTGACTGATGTGTGGACGAGCCTATGGATGAAATGAGATTTTTTAGGACTTGAAATTTTTGATAAATTTTTATATACTTAAGATTTAGAGTTCTCACCACCCAATATTTCTTAACTATATATTACAAAAATATTAGAGCCCTGATACACAGATGTCGCATATTTGAAGCAACATAGAGAGAAACATAGAAATTTGCGACACACAAATTTTTTTAAGGTTTAATATACAAGTAAAACTTTCACATTTCCCCCTCCTCACTTGACCCATGCTTACTTCATAAACATTTTACAAGTCTCAAAAGACCAACCACCGTAAACATAAGCATTTACATATAACCTCACACCTAGCAAAAATCTATCATCTATATCTCCAACTCAGCGGCGACTTCCCTTTTTACTTACCTTTTTCGTGCTGTCATGTTGCAATGTGTTACTGTCATTTTTGACAACATTAGCCTCCTCAGCATTGGAATTTGATTTTCTTAAAGTGCGTACTTGCGTTGAGCGCCTAGCCGAGCCTTGCTGCGTTGAATTATTACGCGCTGAGGGTTGAGTAGAACGGGACTGCGACTGCGGCCTTGATTGTTGTGTCTGCTGCGGCAGTGTCGAGTTTGGCAATTGATGTTTCGTTGCTGTGCTGCCAGATGTTGGCGTGAGGAATACGCTTGTTGTGGTGCTTGTCAAATTCAATGGCGGTTGTAGTGGCAGTAGTGATGTTGTCGTTTCGGCCGGTCGCCCACCTACTAACTCAGCAACGTTTTCCGGGTTAGATTTTTTGGCTTCTAGCACCGCAACGGGAACATCTTTTACACTTGTACTTGTACTTGTATTTCTACTTCCATTTCCATTTCCACTTCCACTGCCATTTGCACTTCTTGTTACCCCCGTTACTTTTTCCAGTGACGTTGTAGCACCGTTGATACTGTTTACTCTTGCAGTTGTTGCTGCTGTTGTTGTTGTAATTGTGGTTGCTGTTACTGTTGTTACCGCTATTGTTGCGGTTAGTAAAAATACGCCGATGACAGCTGGTAACGGCAGTTTTGTTAACATTTCAACGCTGAAATTGAAAACGCATAGAGAGAGAGAGAGAAAGGGAATTATTTAATACAAAGCGTGACAAAATGTAGGAATAAAATAAAAAATAGGGCGGGGTTTTAATGGAAGACAAACACAGGCAGGTTTAGTGTCAGACATATTGCACGTAAGCTACGTCGTTAGTTAAATATTTTGTTTTAGGTATTTTAAAACTTTTTGTTTGACTTATAAATTTTAATTAAGTATGAATAATATTGTTAAGCGATAAATGATGAACTTAAGAAGCTTCATCAGCCTTCAGAATAAATACACGCTACCGTTTGACGCGAATTCTCTTACTCATACACCACTCCACAACCAATCCCTTTCTCAGAACTTCTGAGATAGGTCGGCTGAGTTGAGTAATCGAAAAATGCAGACTGGATTTCACAGGCATCCAAAAGTAGTTCACAGTAAGACATAACGCCAGCGGGGTTTTTGGGAATGAATTGCTCTAAATCTTGGGTGGTTTGCTCTAGATCAACTACACGAGACGAGGTTGTTTGGTTGGTAGAGGTGTTTGCATGAGCATTAGTCCAAAACACAATAAACGCTACAAGTAACTTTTGAGTATGCTATCTCTGGAACCCTGACATTATCTGCTGCCACGATTCGTTGGTCTCTTCAAACTGTTTGGACTTGTCGATGAATCTACTTATGTTAGTAACGGAGGTTTGGAAATCTGCATAAGATTGTGCCTAGTGTTTCATGTATTTTTTGTCCGTACTTCATAAGGGATTAAAGCTACGGCGCCCGAGGATTGTACGGGAGGCCCATTTTAGTGGCATGTTCTACTTTTACTGGAAAGATATACCTTTTATCAGTATCTTTAGGATACCATCGACCAATGTTTCAGATGTCCTATTTTTTCTAATATTCATAGTTGCTTAACTGGAGAAAATAATACAAGGACAGGGGGTCCACTCTCTATTGCGATTCGAAAAGCAAATCATTCGGATTCGAATACTTGGCACTAAGAATTTTTCTTAGTCCGTGTAGCCTTTCGAACCGCATTCAATTTACCCCAGGTAAAACTGAAAGGCTCAAAAACTAATACCAACTATTTCTTAGGATTACCAAGGGAATACGCGATGTGGATAACACTAAACCTAGCGTAGTCGCGTTTCTGGTGATATTCTCACAGAAAGCTGTCAGATATTTTGCTGAAATACTCGTATGAGCAAAATTGCCGCGCATCTCTGCCAAACAGGGATTGATGCAGACGTTTGAAGGCATGCAAGCGGCTACAAAACAACTCAAGTGACTATGTTATGCCGGGGGGCCTCCATGAAGGGAGTGATCGGCTAGGAAAATAGCCAATACTCTCGCTATACAACTCCAACATTTAGGCGGAGCACAATCCCCCAAGACTGTCCTCTTTCTGTCACGTTCGTGTCAAAAAAAGAGAGGCAAACAAAATATCATCCTGCGGTAGGTAAGAAGCAACTAAATGGTATTGTTACGATCAATTGTTGACTATCGTCTGAAAAAATGCTGAAACTAGAGGTTGGCTTACAACAATTACTCTTAAGCTAACCTGCTGGAAATAGGCAAAACTAGAAGTTATTTCCGACTAGGATATACATATCCCGGCATCTTAGTGGGTAGGCCAGCTCTTCGATCGAGCATATTTTCTTGCCTTTTTAAGCTCAAAATGAAAAATTGAAAACAAAGGATTGTCGGATCCTAAGTGGTGCACACAAGTTGACACTAACGTAAGTCATCATCGCCTTTGACACGGTATACTTTGAAATAGATAGCCCTTTCTGACTGAGATAAACAGTGATACCAGCTGTGTGGTGTAAAATATATGTAGCTACCAAAATAATGCTGTGATTTCGGCTCAAAAAATTTTAGTACTCACCTTAAAATACCCACATTATGTTTGGAGTCTATTTATACATAGATAGTATTAAATGTGAACTAATTGCTGGTTTGACCAAGAATGAGATACCCCTACCCAATCCTCAAAAAATTAATTCGGTCGAGAAAAATGCTTGAAAAATTTTGTTTAATAGCTGTCAGCCCTCGGTAGGCAAGGACAGTTTTCTGAGTGAGTTATGTTCCCGTTAATAAATGTTACATAGTAAAAAGCAGTGAAAACCGATTGTATCTAAATTTCCCCCAAAACCAAAAATATAAAAAAAAAAAATTTTAATATTATAAAAAAAATATTCACCAAATTAAAATTTTTTGTTCTCGTTGATTTTTTATTAATAAATATAATAAGACACGAGACACATAGTTCGCTTTTATATCCCACTTAGCATGCTGATGTGCTCGAAATTTTTTGCATAATTTTAAATTTTGCATGTGAATTGTATTTTATTTTTTCATTTTGTGGGAACTCTACAATAGCTTTCAACTAGTTTGTTTTATGTAAAATTTATTGACTGCAATAGGAGAAACGAGTTTCTTCAAAATTTCTATTTTTTCTGCACCTTGCACTAAATTTTATATAAATAATTAAAAATTAAAAAATCGGACTCAGTTGGTCTATTGTCAATTGCATAAGTATTCATTAAAAAAATGTATCAAATTGGTTGAAAAATGAAGGCTTCACTGAATTATGAACAGTCAATTTCAGTTTTGAACCACTGTGCATTGCCGCAGACCACAAATTGGAAGAGTTGCTTGGCCAAACGCTAAGCAATTTTTTTGGTGGCGAGCTGGTTGGTTATTCCACAGTCAGTTTAGAAAATTTTCTACACATTTAAGTACATAAATTTATATTTTCTTATCAACGTCAAAAGCCGTTTTTATTCCTTTAAAATAACCCTGAATTGGTTTATAATTACCATTAATATACAAGTACATATCTACATACATACATAGTTTCCAATTGTTGTTTTTGCTATTGTTAACATTGCGCTTGTCTTCGACGACTTTTTGTGACTTTTATTGTAGACGTATTTGCCAACTTTGGCACATCTGTCGCGCAGATGTCATTGCACTAAGCCGACGGAGGCAGGTACGCATTCAATTATACGTATGTACATTAGCGCACACAGGGGTGGGTTTTGGGGTTCAAACCCCCCCCGTAAATCTAATCTAAATCTAATACCCTGAAATACAAACTGTATCCTAAAGCAGGCTCTCAAGAAAAATAACAAAAAATATTTTATATCAAAAAGCACTTTGCTTTTGCTGTAAATTTTCTTGAAGAAATAAATATACGAGGATTTTTTTCTTGGGAGATGCACACTTATTTAAGAAATTTTGATAGAAGAAAATTTCTACTCCATTTCTTGTGCGTAATTTTATATGAATTTTTCGTTTTTATTGAGAGCTCTTAAAAGTTTAACTTCGAATGAAACCATTGTCCTAAAAATATGCATTGCATACTCACTTACTGTTGTTTTTTACACCTTACAGCCTAAAAGAGTTTACCACTGATATGTACTTAACAAGGATTCGAAGATTTAAATTACCAACGTCGAATTCGTTCCACCAAAATTACCTAAATAATAAAAATGAAAGTCCATTTAATTTTTCCCAAAAATAACCAAATCAATCGAAAACCAGAAACCAGAAATTGAAGAAAATGAACATTAAAACAATTTTTTAATTTTTTTTATTACTTTTGAAAGTTGAGCGTATCTTGTGTTTATAGAACTTTATATTAAACAAGTAATTTTCAAATTACGGGACGACCCTTGAGGTACCATCTTTCCGATTATAAAAAAAAGAATTATTGAGATTGGTTCACGTGGTTCAAAGTTATGCGGTAGCATACATAAAAAAGAAAAAAAATATTCCGACGAATTGACAACCTTTCCCCTTTTCGAAGTCGGTTACAAATGTTTGAGTTCTTTGCTAATTTTATGTAAATAAAGTGCAATTTACGAAAAAACTTGCATAAATGTACCTTAACGAGCATATTATCTGAAGCGAACTTTCAGAAGCATAAACCCCTCCCAAAATATTTTCCTGGGTGCGCCCCTGCGTATGTATGTATGTACATGCAAGCATAGTTTGTGCATACCTTTGTTTGCACGAGTACTATGTTATTGCTTAGCTCAAGCGACAGCTATGACATCAAAAGCCAGCTCCATCATGGGTCATGGTATTTGCGTCAGCCGAATGCCTTCCATGCCATGCAATGTTTAATTATGCAATTTTGCGTTTTTTTTCTGCTTGTGTATTAAATAAGCATTGTTTGCTGGTAAGCAGTTGGGAGAAAAAATATATGTAATCAACAAACATATATGCGTCTGCATTTAGAGAGGTTTATATGTGCATAGTTTAGGCTACTTATTTTACTTTCCAGCAATTATTTTATAAATTTAAATATAAAGTTTCGAATTACTAATTAAAAAAGGTATTGGAGGGCTGATATAATGTACCAAATCTACTTGAATTTGCATACACAAATATTTGTTGATGTAACCGACTGCAAAAAAGAAGAGGAGCTTTCCCGTTCGTTGTGCATTTTTTTATGGTAATTAACATAAATATTTTTTTATCCTAATTAAGCACAAATAGAAGTACTTTAGCACCTGTATGCGAGTGATTAGATACATCTTAGGTATCTTAACAAAACTACCGACTGTTTGCATTTAATTGTATTCCATCATTTACGTATTTGTTACGGTCCTTAGACTATGTTCAGACAGGCACCTAATTGGAAATTAAAAACCTTTCAATTCAGAAATTCTCTATGCGACTCTGCTTGGTATGTTTAATTTTGACTTGGAGGTATATTTATTGAACAAAGAGCAATCAGCTGTTTGTTTCTGGCCCTCTTTTACAGCTAATATTCCATCAGGGATGGAAAATTGAATAATAAAATTGTACCTAATTTACGGAAAACTTTACCTAAAAGTAGATTGATGTACCTAAAAAGTAAATGTCGTAAATTTTTATGTAGAACCGCCCATCGACCAGTTGCAAAACCGAATTTACTTTCAAACGTCACTGTAGGTAATCTAGCAGCTGATTTTGTAACGCTAATTGCGCAGCTGACGTGTCTGTGAACACCAA